TTACAAGGCCAATGGAGGTTTGCGGTATTTGCAAACAAGTGGAGGCATGAACAGTATATCTCTAAGGTGGTTGAAAAATAATCCAAAGTGAAAAGTGTTGGGATTGTGTCTTATTTTACAACCGTTGGGTTAATTTTAATCTAACGGTTGGTGTGTTCTTTTTTAGGCTAAAGAGGTTTTACATATAAAAGCTTTCTTTTGTATATAGTGTTAGGGCTTTTTAGAGAGGTGGTGTAAGAGAAAAATATAGAGTGCTCTTGGTGTAAGAGTGGGTTTTTTTCTCTTGTTTTAGTTCTTCGAGTTGAGAGGAAAGGGATAACGGGTGTATATGGGTCAAGGGTTGGTTTGAGTTGCAAGCCACAAAGTACTTGTATTGTTTCTCAATTTTCTTTCATAGTGAAGAATAGGTTCCTTCTCTTCCGTGGGAAGAGGTAGTAAAGTCAAATTACGTAAATCTTTGTGCTTTTTGTGGCGCTTGTTTTATTTGCCTTTGCTTGGATTTCATCATTTTTACTTCTATTAGATTTCTCATGGTTTTTATTCCAAATACCTTGTGATTTTATACTGTGGGTGGTTGTTATGAGGCCCCCAACAGAATTGGAATCGGAATCCTTTGAAATCAGAATCGGTATAGTCCATTCCCATAATCCATTTGGTTCAGACAGGAATGGGAATGGAAATGGGAATCAGCAAGAATTGGATTTCATTCCCAAGGGAGGGGCAGGGAATGGCCATTACCTCAAATGGGTGAATGCCATTTCAACAGGAATGGGAATGGATTTTCGATTCTGTCTAACTAAACATTTGAAATTGAAATAGCCCACTCCTATTCCGATTCCAGACCCCTATTCCCATGAACCAAAAGAGGCCTAAGAGGTTGAACGGTCATCAATTAGCTTCAACAAGGCTTCAGAAGTAGCAAGGCCAATGTTACTATAGTTCATCCAACAACAGCCTTTTCTATGAAGCAGTCTTTATGAAGTCCCTTCCTTAAGAATTGACATTAATTTGTTTGGGCCGGAGTTCTTGTGAGAAATGCTCAACCTGGGAAACCATTTGCAAATGAACATAATCATTAAACTAGTATTTACAAATGAAGAATTAGAGTCGCATGCATAGAGTCAAGGAACTTCTTCACCAAATCATCATTACATTGATGCAAATAACCTAGGAAATTCATAGCCAATGGAAGTCTCCACATGCACATGATAAGGTCACTGCCATTTGGTACAAATTTCTAACAATACCGTCCTCTAGTGACCCTGGAAAATGAACTTATATATATATATGCAAAGAACTCTTGGGGACAGGTTAAAGTTTTGTTTCCCATGAGAACTAGTACGAGTAAGGGACTTTTGAAATCTACCATCCTCGGATATTAGTTGGTCATAGATTTTCCTTTAGTGGTCTTTTAGGGGGCGTTCCTTTTTTGAATTTTGAGAGGGGGGAATGTTGCTCAATGGGATCTCATTGACCATGAATCCCATGTTACCACTTACCCGGGAAAGTTTATTTTCCTAGGTACCACTTACCCAAGTAAGTGATACTGATCTCCTAGGTGGGTAAATAACCTTCCCACCTAGGGGGAAAGTTGCCAACACTTGAATGGGACAAAAATACCTCATTTTGTAATGGATTTTTATGGTTAAAATGGCCATTGCCTTATTTACATAAGAAATAAAAAACATGGGTAAATGCACTTATCCGAATAAGTGTTTCCCGGGAAAAACTTACCCAAATAACTGCATTTACCCTCCTGGTAAGTAACTTGCAAAAAGCAAACAGGGTCTTAGAGAAACCTCGAGATCTAATAGACACTTGTTTAATACTTTGTCAACTTCAAGGAGACCAAGCAAAGCTTAAAGCCTTCCAATGTCACAGTAAACTCACCCCAATTTGTTACGAGTGCATGTGACTATGGCTTGACCACCTCGTTGCAAGACGTTCACAAAACTCACCTTCCTATTACTTATTTGATGCTACTATAATGTCTATAAATTGCCAAAGTCCACGTCGACTCTATTTTGTAACAAAGGTGGGGTGGGTATGGTGCTCATATAGCCTAACCCAAGAGGAAGATGAATTGGGTAAACTTCCCCCCCTTTCTCCTAAAAGTCTTCTAAAAAGATGAATGCAAGAACAATGAATGTGGAGTCGGAGTGTATGTGTTCTGTGAATGCAATGCAAAAACAATGAATGCATGTGCTTTGTGTCACAAAGTCAATGCGATGAGAAGGTTGCATTCTTTGCAGCCTCAGCACTACTCTTGCAATCACATTCCAATGTGATTTTGCAGTTTCATAGGATGAATTCTAACCAAGATTCAAAGTATCGACACGTATCAGCCCATATTGACCGATACGTATCATTCCAAGACCTCTCCGATACACCCCTATAGTAGGTATCGGGGGTCTGACTAGTTCAGGGGGTGGAGGAGCTCTAAACCGTCTCCCCTGAACCGGTTTTGCAAAAAAAAATAAAAAGGTATCAAGTCGCCCAATACACCCCTACCAACGTATCAGGCATATCAATATTTTGAACCTTCATTCTAACACAATGCTCACCAACTGCATCACAATTGGGTCTCATTTCATCACAACGTGGCCTTAAATTTTCGAAGCTTCATCATTTTCCTTCTTTTCAATCACATTTGCACCTCGTCCACATCGCAGTCATGAGAACCTTAGGCTGCATCACCGATTTTACATGAAATACTCCATGCATTTTGGAGTTAATTTCATCACTCCCAAAATGAAGGCCAATGATTGATAACAAGGGTCAAAACAGTAAGTAGGGGGACTAAAGTGAGTGGATATACACTTAGGATTTAAGAACAAGGCATCAGCCAGTAATGCAAGGCAAGAACGATGTTGCAAATTAAAACAAAGTAAATGCCTTGCAGGAATCTCAACATTGTAAAGATTAAAGAAACAACCTCGTAGGAGCCACTTGACAAGGCTCTAGGATCACAAAAGCACGACCTCACAGGACCAAGAGAGATCTGATCACCAAGGATCCCGTAGAATGAGAAATAAACGAGGGATTAATAACACCAAATTAAGTTTTAAAGTTTTAGATTACTATAAATAAGATATATAGACGTAAGAAGTCCATGTCTTGACAGTTTATGTCAAGTATGAATTATCAGGACACACTTAGGGAAATGATGGAAGAACTAAGGCTGTGTTTGGTTTGAAGGAAAAAGTAGGGAAAGGAAGGGAAATGTAGGGAAAACTTTACAAGCCTTGTATAGGTTTCCCTAAGGCTATGTTTGGTTTGTAAAGGTTTCCCTATCATTCCCTTTCCCTACATTTTCCTTCAAACCAAACATAGCCTAAGTTTCCCTTCCTTTTCCTACTTTTTCCTTCAAACAAAACATAGTCTAAAAGTACGCAAATATATCTGAATTCTTAAGGAAAGAAAAAAAAAAAAAAAAAAGATGATCGGCAGAAACAATTTCAACATCATCCCTCTGAATATTGGCTGCCACAACCAAGCAACTCATCCAAGTCGTCTTAATAATTTTCACTCATTCAATAGAACCAGATTGAGAACAGAAAATTAAACCAAATAAATCACTCACCAAAGGAAAAAAATGAGAATTGAGTAAATAAAAAACAGATGAAGAAGAAAATAAGTAGCAATAAAATGGGGGTGAAGAGAGAGAGAGAGAGAGAGAATAGGGTTTCACACACCTTGGACGTCGTCTGAACTCTGAAGTTGAGCAGTAACAAGTTTTAGGGTTTGAGGTTTGTGTGTGTGTGTCGAATAGGTGGGTTGAGTGCAGGTTGAGAATACCTACCCACCCATTAATGATCCACAACCAACTAGTGACCAAGGAATGCTGGGATGCCGTAATGGACTATGCAACAGAACTAAAGATAAAATTACCCCAGCATCTCAACAGTCATCCCAAACAACGGATTCAACTGGAACACCAAAATCAGCAGCACCCCTTCATGCTTTAAAGCCTTAAATAGTTACAATACTCTAAAAAGGTAGCCATGCTTTAAAGCTCTTGATTTGAAGCATATTCTTATCTGTGATCACTTTAGATGTATGTTAAGAGCATCCTCTTGCAGAGAAGGAGAAGCAGAAAAGAAGTTTCTTCCCATTGCAGACATTGAAGCGAAGTCGTCAAAGGATACCGTCATTTTATCCTGAAATTTTTTTATTAACTATTTGTTGTAATTAATTCTGGTTCTGGGAACAATTATATGTCACGACCAGCTTACTGGTTCATCGAGAGTCTGAAAGAGTATGAGCAGGAATGGGGAGAAATTTTTGTTTTGGATGAAATTTGGAGCTAACGGCTGTCCTGTTAGTTTCACACATGCTGAGGGGCAATTCGTGCAGGACAGGTGACAGGCTTCCACTGTATGGAGCGTTTGTGGGGTGCCCATCCGTGGGCACCCGTGAATTTGCAATCTTTTGAGCTCTCATTGTTTTCTATAACCCATTAATTTGGGTGAGTGGATCAGTATGGGTGGAGTCATGAGAAGATCGGTGGCAGGTGGAGAGTTTGAAAACTTCAAACCGAGTGATGTTAGAGGAAGCGGCACCTTAGGAAGACTGAAGCTTCAATCTGCTGATTCTTCTCTGCAAACTTTGACCCAACCAAGGTTCTAAATATCAATACAGGCCGATATGCCGGTAGGGAAACTGTAGATGATCATGCACAATGTCCATTCTTAGCTTGAAAGGAGCATTAAAATTATGTAGAAGGGCATCTAATGTTTTCTCACTAATGGAGGGGATTTTTGTCTTGTATCCTTACTAATAAATACTAATAAGAAGGGCTTCTTGGCTCTGTTCTTTTTCTCCCTTTTTCTTCTTTCTTGCTTTCCTCTCTTCTTCTTCCTCTTCTATTCACCATTTCTCTTGCTGTTAATCTTCTACTGCAACCAGCATACAACTACCTATTCAATGGCAGGCACAGGCTGGCATGCAAATTAACACCCCTAAAATTTAGAAATACTACAGATTTCACATCACAAACATTGAGAAAATATTTGGTTCATGATCACCAGAATAAGTGTAATTTGTATTCAAGAGGCAAAGCATTTTTGTATGTTCAGTTGGCAATTCCACAACACTGAAAAAGCCAAGTGATGGTATGTAACATATAGACAGACTTCTGGAATTCGTGAACTTTTCTTCTTACTTCAATGCTTTCCAACTAATTTTGTTAGCTCATGATCAAACATATACAGTTCCCATCAATAAAGGATAGATCACATCACCCAAATAGGCATTACACAGGCAGACAAACCTGAAAAGAACTGCAACCTTGCCTGCCAGTCTGTCTTTAAAATCTCCAAGCTTGAGTTGCAATTTACCCCTGCTAATAATGAGCAAACCATATTATACTAATTAGAAAAAGCAAGATAACAAGTGAAGTAAGCAATAAAAGAACTAAATACATGCCTGTTGGCTCATGAGAATCTCCACAGCAACATTTGAATCTCCATCAGCAGCTGCAAGGGCAACTTCTGCCTGTGTCTGCACAGAATCAACATCTTAGTCACATACTCGCATGTGCAAAAAAGGCAAGATGCTATATTTGGAAAGAATTGTAAGGAAAGCATTCAAAATCGGCTCCTGAATGTACAAAAAGTTCTACCTCTGCTCTCCTTAGATCCATTCATTTTAACCAAGGGGATTTAAAATGAGATTTATCATTACGAAATAATGAAGCATATTTTCTATCTAGAATATATTGCATTGAATGTGGAATAATGTTAATCTCTTCATTCTGAAATTAATAAACAATCAAAATAGGATGAACTGAAAATTTCCTTCTGCAACCATGCCAGAGAAAAGCTAAACAAGCTGTAGGCTGTAACATACCCTATCAAAACCCATTGCAACAAGTTTTTGGATCTGTTCATCAGATGCATCCAAACCCTGCATTCAACGAACACATAAACCAAATAAATTTTAACAGAAACCAAGTGGAATATGTTTAATACTAAATGAAGAAACCTGCTGGTGCATGTGGCCACCTACAATTGTTGCAGAACCATCTACAGTTGAACGCCTGAAAACACTCAAACACCAAAACAACTGATGAATAGAAGACCATATAATCAACTGGAAATATACAAGCTAATTAAGAAATATGCATGTTTGTATCTCATTAAACTTTTTTTATCAATAACAGAATTTCGTTAGAAATATTAAGAACTACAAGATAGGGAGAGGTAAACTATCTTAACTCTCCACAAACAAAAACACTATTACATCTGAGCCCAAAACAACTGATTCCTCCCCACCCCTTGTATCTCATTAAACTACCCCAGACAAGTATATTAGGTACCCTTCTTAATATATTTGAGTTATTGATGATGCCGCAACGGGATTTGGAAATTCAATAGATAAAATGTCAAGCTCAAGATCCCAGAGGCAGCTTTGCTAGTCAGGTTGTTCACTGAAACAGTTCGGACAACCCAAGAATCTTCCAGGTGTAATATGTTTTTTTTTTTCTTGTTCTTTTTTCATGGATAATCAGTCATCCTAGAGATTGAGATGACCAATACCCAAAATGAACAACAATAGAAGTACCACCCCTACCCAAAATTACAATACAACAAACTATCGTCCCGTCTCCCAAAACATATTTTCTCTTACAATCCCTTGTTTAACTAACCCATCTGCCAATCAATTTGCAGATCCTTACACCCAGTGGACAGCTGCTACTGTCTCTTTTGGGATCATTAGTTTCTCTTAAGATGCGTCTAAACTGCCAAGGACACTTCATTATCCAATCCCAAACTACTTTTGAGTCTCCTTCAACAATGATATTAGTATGGTTATTTATCTTTGCCAGCTTTAGTCCTTGTAGAACTGCTAGAAGCTCCAATTGCATATCCGTGGCCTGCAGGACCTGAGTATTGGGCAATATTGCCATCTAACAATTCCAAGAGGTAAATGTTAGAGCTGCAATAATACACCAGTACACCCCTATCAACAAGGATTGGACAACACAAGAATCTTCCAACCACAAACTTACTGGTTCAAAGAGAAGATGTATAAACTTTGGTGGTAGAATACTAGAACTACCCTTATTAAAAGTGCACCATATCTGGGTGTATTAACCTCCTTTGCTCAAGATATAATGGTGAATAGCAGTGGAACTTCCAGGGTGGTGTCAAGGGAACAAGAAGTGTTTTAGAAGCACAAGGTGCAAGAGGCCTTTTGCACCAAAGGTGCAAGGTGCAAGGTGAGGCGAGTGCCATTTTGAAGCAAGGCATAAAATATTTTAAATATTCAAAAAAAAAATGCATACTTAGAATTTTTAAAGAAATTAAGTGTTTTAAAAAGCCTATTGGCTCAAATATGCATGCCAAGGCTTCAGATATTTGAAAGGTCTTTGCTTTTTTAGTTAAAAGATAATAAACCATTAATCAGTAGCAAGTTTCGAAGAACAAGCCCATCAATTGGTATCAAAGCTTAGCTTCGATGCCGACCACCAGATCTACAGTGGCAGAAGAAAAGATTGATCGGATTGAAGGGGAGGTGCGACAGAACACCAATGAGTTGAAGGACATTGTTAAGATGTGTCGAATAGGGGTAGTTTAGTCTTCTTCTGTTTATTAAGTAACTTGCTTATGTGGCTGTGTTATTAGAGTTACTCTGCCCCACACTTAAGTAAGGGCATTTCTGTCTTTGTAAACATGATTAGAAGCTAATATAGATTAAGGGGGTCGACTGAATGGGTTAACCATCAGATTTTCGACTGACCCCTCTTCTTCTCTTCTTCTTCTTCTTCTTCTTCTTCTTCTTCTTCTTCTTCTTTTCCTCTTCTTGTTCGGACTACTGTAGCAGCAGCCGAAATAGACATCAAGGAGACACTCTTAGCATTGGTCGAGCAGTTCAAACGATTGTCGGCGGCACTTAGAGCTTCAGAGGCCGAAGGATCCAGCAGCAGCAGCAGGAGCAAGCGAGGTGGAGTTTTCCCCGTCAAGGCCGCCAAGATAGATTTTCCACTCTACTCAGGTGATGACCCTGTTCCTTGGATATACCAGGCCGAACATTACTTTGAATTTCATGAGACCCTAGCAGACCAGAGAGTTCCCATTGCTTCCATTCACATGAACAGTGAAGCCATCATGTGGTATCAATGGTATCATAAGACCCACCCATAGACCACCAGGTTAGATCTAACCAAGGCTCTACGCATGAGGGTCGGTCCCTCTAGTTACAAGAACTTCAATGAGTCTCTCTCTCAAGAGTGAGACAGACCGGAACGGTGAGGGAATACCAGAATGAGTCCAAATGGTTGGCCACTCGAGTTCATGGCTGGCCGGAGGCCGCTCTGGTGGGATGTTTTATAGGGGGATTAAGGGACGATATAAGGATCGAGGTAAAAACCATGCAACCAACTACGTTGATTGCGGCGGTTAGCTTAGCAAAACTCTAGTAAGAAAGGTTGGACCGACTTAAGAAGCTTGGAAAGTCCACTGGGCTTCAGGCAAGCCCAATACAAAAAAAAAAGAAAAAAAAAAAGAAAAACTATCCTAAGACTGATCGAACCCAGGTCCACTGCTACCCACACCCACCATTCCAATAACCACTACCGCTAAGATCACACCACCCCCCAAGAAACCCGGGTCATTGACCCTACTTTACCGAAAACTATCATGCACAGAGATGCAGGCCAGAAGAGAGAAGGGCATATGCTATAATTGTGATGAGAAATTCGTCTTGGGCCACAAGTGCAAGGCCCAACATGCATACCTTCTACAAGTTGAAGAAGAGACCCTGGGGTTGAACAGATGGAGGTGGTCCCAAAAGTGGAATATTGTGTCATTTCCCTACAGGCTCTGTCCGGATACCAAGCCCCAAGAAACATGCGGGTCCACAGGCAAATCTTGGGGAGGAGAGTGGTTGTTCTGATCGATAGTGGGAGTTCTCTGAACTTCATAACTCCCGGACTAGCTCAGCAGCTGGGGGTAATGATTGAGGCAGTTCCACCCTTCGCAACCAATGTAGCCAACGACCAGCGTATCGCTTGTGAAGGGAAATGTAAGTCGGTTGAGCTCAAGGTTCAAGGGTATACTTTTAGGGTGAACTTACATCCCTTGGAGTTCATAGGAGCCAACGTGATTTTGGGAATATAGTGGTTACAGCTTTTGGGCCCTGTGGTATGTAATTGGGCCGAACTGACGATGCAATTCACACATGAAGGTCGTTCCTATACCATAAAGGGGGTTAAAAACCAGCCCATAACCGCAGAAAACTTGGACATTATCCTTAAACATTGTCAATACAGTGCTACCCCCTTATTGATGAACATGGGTTCAATGCCTCTGGGGCCCACGACCGCCCTTCCTCTGGAGATATAGGCCTTTGTCCGGATCAAGCCCAGCAACTCCAGCTGTTACTCCAAGCCTACTCTGACATTTTTCAGGAGCCCACTACCCTACCCGCCCCTAGAGCCCATGATCACAAAATACCAATTCAACCCGGAGCCCCACCCGCCAATGTTCGTTACCCCCATTACCAGAGGGTAGAAGTGGAATGGATGGTGAAGGAGTTATTGGACAAGGGTTTTATTCGGCCTAACACCAGCCCATTTTCGTCACATGTTATTTTGGTAAAGAAGAAGGATGGTAACTGGAGATTTTGTGTGGGTTACAAAGCTTTGAACAACATCATGGTGAAGGACCGGTATCCAATACCCTTGATTGAAGAGTTGTTTGACGAGTTGGGTAAGGCTAATTTTTTCTCTAAACTGGACCAGCGATCAAGCTACCATCAGATCCGAGTACACCCCAAGGACATACACAAGACTGCATTTAGGACCTCGGACGGGCATTTCAAGTTCCTAGTGATGCCTTTTGGTTTAACCAGTGCACCTTCCACATTCCAAAGGCCCATGAATGAGATTTTTAAGCCCTACCTATGCCTATTTGTGCTTGTATTCTTTGATGATATACTTGTTTATAACCCATATTGGGCCACTCACCTGGAACATTTGCAGCGTACGTTGGGCTTACTTCACCTCCATCAGTTGTTTGCTAAACCCTCCAAGTGTTCCTTTGGACAGACCCACTGGGGCACATCATCTCTGACAGGCAAGTGCACACCGATCCAAAGAAAATAGCTTGCATGGTCACATGGGCTAGTGCCACCTCTCCACGGGCCCTTAGAGGGTTTCTTGGTCTCACTGGTTACTATCGTCGATTCATCAAAAATTATGGAGTCCTTGCAGCAACCATTACTCGATTGTTGAAGAAGCACTCTTTTGAGTGGGATCAGAAAGCTGAAGAAGCCTTCCAATTACTTAAGAAGGCAATAACAACACCACCCACATTGGCCCTCCCCGATTTCATTCTAGAATCCGTGGTGGAGGCCGATGCATCAGGCAAGGGGATAGGCGCGGTCCTAATGCAGTAAAGTAGACCACTGGCCTTCTACAGTAAAGTAGACCACTGGCCTTCCAATTACAAGAAGGAACTCATGGACATTGCTCTTGCAGTCCATAAATGGAGAGCATATCTCCTGGGCCGAAAGTCCGTTGTTAGGACAGACCACCGCAGCATCAAACATCTGCTGGAACAGAGAGTTATGGGCCCTAACCAACAAAAGTGGGCCTACAAGTTGTTGGGGTTCGATTTTGTCATTGAGTATAAGCCTAGGCCCTCTAATGTTGTGGCCGATGCACCCTCCCGGGTGGATTCACATGATAGGGGTGTCGAAACCAATCTATCCTTTGATGGACCAATTAAGACAAGAGGCCTATGACGACCCTCACCTGGCTCGAATACGGGCCCAGACCCTTGAAAGTCCAACCATTACTTTCGGGTACGCCGTGAAAAATGTTTTCTACAAAGGTAGAAATGATAATTTCTGACAGGTCCCAGCATCACCAAGAATTGTTGCGAACTTTTCATGACTCAGCCCAAGGGGGTCATTCCGGGGCTCTCAGCATCTATAAGCGTTTGGCCACCCATAATCATTGGAAGGGCATGAAACGCATGGTATAGGAGTATGCCGCAAGATGTGCAACTTTGCAACAGCAGAAGTATAGCACAC